TGTCTGCACTTGCCTTCCTCCTCTAAAACTTTTAATTGCACATTAGAGATTAAGCTTTCGATCTTCTTCACAGCCAAGAATTGTTACGTGACACCTCTGTGCAACATAAATAGAAGCAATCTCTCTTTTTGATCAGTGCATGCAGGAATGCTGTCCTATCATGCATTCTGATTCCTCCAGTTTGTCTTATTTACTTAGCACCTGAGAAGTGAAATGTTGTGATGGGATTCTTGACAGAGTTGTGTCTGGAGAGGCTTCCACGGAGGTGTGGTTGCTAATTAGGAACACTACTTATTTGGCTTCACTTGTGGACAGCCTTCATGCATGATTTGAGTCATTTAAACATGCCTCTATTGGGAGCTGTTTCCAAGAACATTAGATGCAGAGTACCAAAAACAGAAGTGTCTCTCTACATGGCATTTTAATGATTGATTGTTTTTAACACTTTGTATGACATTTGTGCATATCCCTGTCTTGAAATAATAACGCAAGACTCCATCTTTGCATAAGAGATGGAAGGAGAGCAATGCTGTGCTAGTGCAGCATTTATTTAAATTGGTGCTTTTCAAACTTTACATCTTTAAAATGTGTGGACTTACAATTCCCAGAATTCGCCAGCCAGCAACTTAAAGTTGGCATATTTGAAAACACTGTTTTAAATTGTGGGGAATTTTGAATTTTTCTAAAATGGAACAGGTTCATACAACTGCTCCAGGGGAAGATATTTCCTTGCAGGTGCCTGCCATGCTTAAAAAAAAAACCTTTTCTGCACAGCTCTTTAGCCCTCTGAATACAGATAGTCCCCGACTTATGACTGTGAGCCCAAAATTTCTATTGCTAAACAAGGCTGTTAAGTGATTTGTGCCTCATTTTACAATATTTTGCCACAATTATTAAATGAATCACTGCAGTTGTTAAGTGAATCATGCAGTCATTAAGTGAATCTGTCTTCCCTCATTTGCTGGTTGGAAGGCAGCTGGAAAGATAGTGATCACATGAGCCTGGCACACTGCAACTGTCATAAATGCATGCCAGTTGCCAAGCACTGAATTTTGATCACATGACCATGGGGATGCTGCAACTGTCATTAAGTGTGAAAAATGGTGATAAGTCATCTTTGTCAGTGTAACTTTGAATGGTCCCTAAATAAATGGTTGTAAGTCAAGGGCTATCTGTATTTAATCCTAATACAGTAAAAGAACGAAACCATGGTTGTCTGTTTTACCTAGAACTAAGAAAAAATTTCCTGACAGTTAGAACAATTAATCAGAGGAACAACCTGCCTCCAGAAGTTGTGAATGCTCCAACACTGGAAGTTTTTAAGAGATTGGACAATTATTTGTCTGAAATGGTATAGGGTTTCCTGACTGAGCAGAGGGTTGGACTAGAAGATCTCTAGGATCCCTTCCAACTGTGTTTATTCTATTCTATTCTATTCCATTCCATTTCATTCCATTCTATTTCATTTCTATTTCTATTACTTCTATACTTCTACCGAATCATATCAGCCCATGGGAAGTTAATCTGACATTTTATTTTCACCGGTGGAAAAACAGGCATTTCAAAATACACAGAAAACATGACATACTTTTTATCAATTTGGGTTAGGTCTTTAAAAGCAACAATCAATCCAAGATTATGATCTTATATACTTTTGTTAGATGTATATATTACCAGGAAACATTTCAAAAGCTGGCATTGTATAGAATGCCTAGGAAATCTATATAGAATGTCTTCTGTTCTCGAAGAAGAGGCATTGAGACGAAGCACAGTCACACAGTCCTTCTTTAATGCAAACACCAACAGGACAGATTGCAAAATGGTGCGGCCCCCTTTTATAGCCCCCCTGCACAGTACCCTGCTGGCCACTCATTGCAAGGGATCTTTTCCCGCCTTGCGCAGGCGCGCAAGGCTGGGAGCAGCCTTTCTTGTCCTCGGCATCCCTGTGGTCTGCCCAGGCCAATCGCTGCAGCCCACACCTGCTGGCCCAGGACATAATAGAATGTGTAACTCTTTTAGGTAAAATATGAAATGTTTATGTTATTTTAAAATGCTGGAGACTTTCCCTAGTCATTGTATAGAATATCTAGGCATTATGCAGAATGACAATAACTCTTTAGGCAAAGTATGAAAAGAGAGTCATGAAAGGGTTGGGGAAAGGAGTGAGGGCTTATTGAAAAAATGTACATGTACTTACAACAGTTCATTTAGCAACCATTCAAAGTTACAGTGACACTGAAAAAGTGACTTATGACCATTTTTCACACTTATGACTGTCGCAGCCTCCCCACGGTCATGTGATCAAAATTCAGATGCTTGGCAGTTAACTCATATTTATGAAGGTTGCAATACCCCCGGGTCATGTGATCACCTTTTGTGACCTTTGGACAGGCAAAGTCAATGAGAAAGCTAGATCCACTTAACAATCCTGTTACTAACTTAACAACTGCAGTGATTCAGTTAACAACAGTGGCAAGAAAGGGGTCAAAACTTACTTAACAAATGTCTCGCTTAGCAACAGAAATTTTGGGCTCATGGTCGTTAAGTCGAGGACTACCTTTGCAGGACTTTCTTACTGAAAAAGAAAAGAAAAGAAAAAAAACCAGTATTGACCTACCTGTTGTAAGAAGGAAGGCTAAAATGGCATTTTAGAGGGAGCATTTTATACTTTGCCAGTTTGCCTTTTGGCGCTGCATAGCGTGCCTAGGAAATGTGCAAAATATTAAGTGTTTCATACTTTGACATCCCAGTTTTAGCATTCTATAATTTCCCAAGCAGTTTATAAAATGCTTAATTTCACACATTGACGGTAACATATATACCAGGCTCAGTCACCAGCATTTAAATCACTTCTTATTAATAAGCTACATTGTCCTATGCCATACAACAAAATGATTTTTATTACCATTTCCCAGCAACCCATAAACTATTGCCCTCATCTAGGGAATGGGAAAAGATGGTATTTCCCATTTTGGCTTTGTAGATAATGTATTACAGCAGCCAAAGTTTTAATGCTCTTCCATCGCGCCTCACCTCATAAGTTAAATGACAGGATAATGTGCAATCAAGAGTGACCATTCTGGCTGGCCAAAGTCAACCATTTCTCTTCTTTCCAGCTCCCAGTCAAGTCATTAGCAGCAAGATAATATAACTTATTGCTGCTTACAAAGAAACTTTGCTGCCTGAAGTTCTCATATCCCAGTTCAGAACGTTTTGGACCAAGGAGCTAGGGGACAATAAAATGCTGCTTCATTGGACAATCAAAGGCAAGGAAAATAATTTGCATGCTTCTGGCAGGCATGTGATGGCTCCAAAAATTCCTACATGATTCAGCCCCCAAAGCTTTCCTTTTCTGCAATCCTTAAAATCGCAAATTGCATTGTCAAAAGCAGAGAGTAATGTTCCTCTCATTTTCAGTGATAAAATGATGCACCTCCCAAGAGGTAAGGCTGAACTGATGCTGAGAAAAAAACGCAGTACAAATGCAACATCATAGAAACAGAAAACACCTTTTCCAAAATATCCACCTTTCTGGATAGATTTTGCCTGCCCAGTTTAGAAGGCAGAGAATTTGGTGGACCAGAGAGCACCTCCTAAAGATCTCCACCAGTCTTGGTGAGGACTCCCACCTAGTCTTACAGTCTTCTGGAAAGCTGGTACAAGTCCTGATTTTCCAAAAATCCTCTCAGAAGTGCCTATGGACCACTGACACCTATATTAGTTTTATGCCAGTGTTAATTAAGTAGCTTGATTTCAATCAGAATAGAACTGGAAGGGACCTTGGAGGTCTTCTAGTCCAGTCCCTGCTCAAGCAGGAGACCCTATACCATTTTAGATAAGTGACTGTTCAGTTTCTTCTTTAAAAACCCCAGTGATGAAGTACCCACAATGTCTGAAGGCAATCTGTTCCACTAGTTAATTGTCCTCACTGTTAGGAAGTTTCTCCTTAGTTCTAGGTTGCTTCTCTCCTTGATTAGTTTCCATCCACTGTTTCTTGTCCTGCCTTCTGGTGCTTTAGTGAATAATGTGACCCCCTCTTCTTTGTGGCAGCCCCTCAAATACTGGAATACTGCTATCATATCATACCCTAGTCTTTCATTTCTCTAGACTAGCCGTACCCAATTCCCGCAACCATTCTTCATATGTTTTAGTCTTCAGGCCTTTAATAATCTTAGTTGTTCTTCTCTGCACTTTTTCCAAAGTCTCAACATCTTTTTTGTAGTGTAGTGACCAAAACTGGATGCAGTATTCTAATAAATGCATTCTTACTATGCATTTTTTTTTTGTTTTATGTTTTATTACTCTCTGTAAACTGCCAAGAGTCTGTCTGAATAGAGATGCTGCATAAACATAAATCAATACTATAGATCAATTAATTTTCTGAAAAATCTACCCTTGCCCACTTTTTAAAAAGTGTGATCCAAAGCAAGGGAAGTAAGTTAATTTCTGCTTTAATGGAGGAGTATGTTTCGTTTATTGTTAGATAAACAAATCTTTGTGTTTAAGGAACAAAGGAAATGTTTTATTTCTTTCTCTCATATGTTTCCCACCCTTTAAAATGTAGCTCAGATAGAAATGTGGCATTCTGTTTTATGTATTAATAAATTTAACTTTTAACTCAAACATATTGAAGTATGCTAGCATTGATTGATAACTGGGATAGACTATACTCTGCATTGATGAACAGCTATTTTATGAACATTTTTCTTTTTAATGGGATCTTAATTACTTGGTATTCTTTTAGCACTCTGCATATGCTCAGGAACCCATCCTTCCTAAGGGCTGTTGCTGAATTCAAACCTCTAATAACATTACATGCCTCCTTAATCATTTGAGATAATCTGGGGCTTCATTTGCAGAGTGATAACTTGCAAAAAAAAGAAGAAATATTCATTAGGAACAAAATCATAGTTTTCACAGCACTGTTTTTAAAATAATTTTATTAAAAATAATAATTGTAATAGTAAAACCTTTAGTTTTGTAAAAAATGCAAAGGAAAAGAAAAAATGGAAAGAAAAAAAGAAAGAGAGAGAGAGAGAGAGAAAGAACTACCAATCTTCATCACAAGTATTTCATCTCTTAATTTACACTAATGATCTCTTCATCAGATATCCCATCGCTTATTCATAAGCAAATCCTTAAAGCATCATCTTTCAGTCTTGGTGTCAGCAAAATTCCATTGACAGCCAGACATAACAACATATCATTTTTAACCTTGATCAAATAAACCAATTTTATATGCCTTCTTTTACTTCTAACACTGTTTGGTCCATTCAAGTAATGCCACAGAATTTCCATATATTTTTTTTTTGCCCCTTCATACAAACTTTAACAAACCTCTTTTGTAAATCCAATATGTAAGAATTATCCAAGTCACTCTCAGTTTTTTATTTGTAATTCTCTTTGAATTTTTAAAGCATCAACTGATTTCTTTTGTTCAATTATGTTCTCATGTTCAATGAGAAATCTTTTTCATTCTTGTAGTCTTCATTTGTAGGTTTGCTTTCAGTTTCAACTCTGTCTGTCTTGTCAGTTAAAACTTGTTCTTTTTCTGCCAAAACATATGAAAACTTGTTCCTTTTCTTCCAAAGCATATATTGGACAGCCTATCCATAGAAGCACACATCACTACTGACATTCTTGATATTAATGTCTGATTCCATTTTTTAAAAAGTGTCCTTCAGTATTTCCAATGTTATAATATTTTGTGTTATTCTGTAGCTGTTAATTAGGTTTATGTATTTTTCTTAATTAAAATCATTAATTTCCTCTAGTGTCCAATTTTTAAAATGGCTTAGCTTTATTATATTTTAGAAAAAAATCAGATGAAGTCCATTTTTCCTTGAGAAGATTTCTTTATAATTAATTCCAAAATCTTATTTTATACTATCTGGATCCTTAATCCATTTATAACTTACTAAAATATAAGTTTAATCAGATTTTTGCTGTATATGTCAATTTTTTAAAAATTCTTAAACTTAAACTTAGTTAAATTTCCTCTTTCATTAAGGACTGAAATCAAATTCAACTGCTTTTTTTCAGACTTGTTGATCCAAAGATCTCTAAAAGCTGGAAAATAGTTAACAAGCAATTTCCTAATGTGATTAGAAAAGGAAACATGGAAACTTAGTGTCCTTTTAAAGATACTTATCCAGGGAGTATATATTGTGTGTGTATGTGTGTTATGTTTTGTTTTGTTTTGTTGGTTCAAAAATAAAAAAATAAAAAATAAAATAAAGATACTTATCCAGGCTTGAACAAAATGGTGCAATTCCATTATCTCCCAGTGCTCAAAACCCACTGGAGACCACTTTCTTATGATTTCCTTGTGAGAAGCAACTGACTGGAACACTTGTGGGTGATCTCCTGCCTTCTCTTTGTCTGAAAAAGTTTGAAGCACTAGTCTAGTAACTTACTCTTTGTTCTTTGCTGTAGTTGTTGACTCCACTTTTCATAAAACCATCTTCACTTTGCCATTTGTTCCCTCTGGAAGTCCATAGCACTAAGGAGTTAAAACAACAATAAGACATTAGGGACAATATGGGAAGTGTTATATTATTCTTTCTCTCTCCCCCACTATAACATAAATATCTAGTAAAAGTGTTTGGCATTAATTCTGCAAAAAAGATTTTATGGCATCAAACTGTGCAAAAAAGTATTTGGATTGGAACTTGTGAGCAAGCATCTTCACACAGCAATCCCAAACTCCTAAATTGTATAAAATGGATTTCCCCCCCTCATCTTTAATCTTCTTAGCTAGCGTCTTCCATCCAGTGAAGGAAGTAGTGGTCCAAATAAGCAAATTCCTGTCCATTAAGATGTTACAACTGGTTTCCTGCTGGGACTGCAAAGCATTACTTTCAGAATGAACCCCTGTAAAACTTGCTTCTGAATGAAGCAATGAGCAATAATCAGAGTAGCATCTGCATCCTTGCGTTTATCTTATTTACAGCAATAAAAAAATCTGCCACATTTGCAAAAAGGCAATGGGGCTTAATTGCTGTAAATATTTCTCATCTGCTATAATGCTGAAGAAAAGCAGGTGGTGATCTGAAGGTCCCGTCTCTGCTGCTGGATGCTCTTTGCAATCATTTCAGAAGCTGAAGCTTTCTTCATGTCCAAAGGCTTTAACGAGTCCACGTGCCCAAGTATTCAAGAAGTTCATCCAAAGTACAAAATGTACTAAATAAAAGGAAAATGAATCAGACTTGCTCTCACCATCCTGTCCTCTTCTAATTCACTTTGGGAGGTGAAGTTTGCTCCTGGTTTCTTCAAAATCTTTCTCCAAAATGCAAACCGTTTTAGAAAGGAAGATTCACTAGGTTGGTTTTCTTAAGACAGATTTCCCTTTGTCATTCAGGCTTTATTCAGATTTAACAAGGCTCTTAAAAGAAAGGCACACAGAGACAATCTGGTTTCCCTTAACGCACAATATATTTGAGTGTAATTGTAAATGTCTTCCTTCTGTTTTAGTAGTTTATTATTGTGTAGACTGCCTAGAGTTGCTTCAATGAATGAGGCATCTAATAAATTTGACAAACGAGCAAAAACGAACACAATATACTTTGGAACTTTCTTTCCCTTCACATTTGTGAGAGCTGTATCCGGATACGTGGAATGCTGCAGATGGGATGGGAGAGGAAGCCAATGCTGCATTCTGCCAATACACGTATCCTCTTCCTTTCCAGATATACAGAGGACACAAAGAAAGGTGAACAGAATCGGAATGATGTGCCAGATGGCAAAATGAGACAACTCGCCATGGCCAACTTGCTTTGGACAACTTTGCTGCGGGATAACTTGCCAGGAGACAATTTAACAATTCCATTTAATTATTTAAAATAATTGTTTTTTTATTTTTGTCATACACATTTCATTTTGTCCCTCCTTTGCCATCCATTTTTAATGATTATATTCCATCATTTCTTCAATATAAGTGTAACTTTTGTTCTGCAACAAGCGAGCTAACCATGGTGAGTAGCCGATGACAAGTTGGATGTGGGAACTTGGCCATGGCAGGTTGGCTGAAGCAAATTGTCCTAGACCCCTTGGTGGACAGTTGCACTCATTGCCCAAGGAAAAACATCTTCACCCTGAGTCCTTTTGGAAGCTAAAGAGGTCCTCCTTTATAATCTTTGCAAGGGGAGAATTGTGTTAGTTTATGAGGACAAAAAAAATCAGAGTCCCACAGATTATCAGCAATCTGACAAATTTTATTTAAAAGGTATAAGCTTTTGTGAGTTTGCACCTGATCAAGCAAGCTGCCGCTCACAAAAGCTTATGCCTTTTAATATTTGTTAGTTAGAAAAGGTGTTAGCAGATTCCTTTGATTCTACAAAAGTCCAAACATTTTCATTTACAAATGGTTACTTTTTCAATGAGAATTAGTTATCATGCCTTGGTAAAACCATATTTGGAATACTGCATCCGGTTTTAGTTGCCATGACATAAAAAAGACATTGAGGCTCTAGAAAGAGTGCAAAGAAGAGTAACAAAGATGATTAGGGGATTGAAGCTGAAAGCATATAAAGAACAGTTGTAGAAACTGGGTATGTCTAGTCTAGTGAAAAGAAGGACTGGGGGTGACATGTTAGCAGTGTTCCAATATCTGAGGGGCTGCCACAAGGAAAAGGGGGTCAACCTATTCTCCAAAGTACCTGGAGGCAGAACAAGATGCAATGGATGGAAACTCGTCAAGGAGAGAAGCAACCTAGAACTAAGGAGAAATTTCCTGAGAGTGAGAACAATTTATGAGAGGAATGACTTGCTTCCAGAATTGTGGGTACTCCAACAATGGAGATTTTTAAGAAGAGATTGGATCCATTTGTCCAAAACTGTATAGGATTTCCTACTTGAGCAAGGGGTTCTATATCCAAGGTCCCTCCCAACTCTGCTATTCTGATCCTTAGTGGAGAAAGCAGCCTATCTCTGAAAACCGGAAGCTGATGGCTATTGTTGAACTAGCATGTGTTGAGTGAAGTTGGCTGTGGTGGATTTAATAGGGCAATTCTTCTTTTGTTTGCTTTCTGACTGAATGTATTCTAAAAGTCTTGGTTGTAGTTCCAAGGAAGGCAACCTTCTTAAGATGTTCCATATTTGTCATCTGGAATGTTGCTTTCAGTGACACACAGCTATCTTCTCAGTTCTATGGGACACTATTTGGGGTGGGAAAATTTGGAAGCCTTCTGCCTTCAGAAATTATCACCATCCTCATTTATTAAATATATCTACCACTCAACTCCCAGCAACAAATATGTGCTTTATTTTCAAATAAATTATCTTATAGTGTGTGTAGATAAGTATAGGCAATCCTCAACGTTCATTTAATAATGGTTCAAAGTAACAACAGCCTTGGAAAAAGTGACTTACAACCAGTTGCAATGTCCTGTAGTCACGTGATCACAATTTCTCAACAATTTTGCTGATTTCCAGCAAAAAACTGACCATTGGGAAACCTGGATTTGCTTAATGACTGCAGAATTCACTTAACATCCATGGTGATTTCCTTAACAACTGCCATAAAAATTGTCATAAAATTGGGTCCAACTTAACTTATGACCACAATGATTTATGATGGAAATTTTGGTCCCCTATATGAACATAAACCGAGGAGTTCTTGTAGTTCTCCTTCAAAGAAACAGAAGGGACATATAGTTTGTGTCTGTGTGTTCTGGGTTTTCACTGTACATTAATATTTTTAAACAAAGAATTCTGGTTAAGGCATATGGTTTTGCAAAATAAAAGCATCCATATTACTCAACATTTTCCCCAATACTCATTCACTCACATACTTGATCTTCAGCCAAGTCATCCAAATCTTAAAACTCTGCAGCATCTCAGTTAAGGGGCTGGAGTTTTGGGGTCTTGTGGCTGTGATATATTTGGATATATATTTGATATATATCACTTTAGCTGATTGTGTTCGGCAGGTCAGCGGTTCAAATCTCACTGGCTCAAGGTTGACTCAGCCTTCCATCCTTCCGAGGTAGGTAAAATGAGGACCCAGATTGTTGGGGGCAATGTAAATATATATATATATATATATATATATATATATATATATATATACATTGCTTACTGGTGTACACCGCTTAGAGAGTGCTTGCACTTAAAGCGGTATATAAGTCTCATAAATAAATACATAAATAAATAAATAAGTTGAAGAATGACCAGATAACCCCACTGATTGTCATTTATTGAACTGCATAGACTTCCTTATTCTTTTATAAACTTAAATTTCTACAAATAATGTCCTGTCTTTAGTGTTACAATTATTGGCACAAATGAATTTTTACAGAAAATAAAATTTAAATGCAAGGCAGAGGTCAAAAAATTTGTGCTGCACCTTGCAAATGACATAATGAAGTACAGAATATATTGATCAAGGAAGAGACTAAGTCCTCAAACGCCATTCTTGCGCGCCCCCTGCTGTTCACAATGGGAAGTACCAAAAATTGGTAGTCCATTTTTTCCTCCCCATTCCACTCCTGAAAAAAACTACTGGTGAAATAACATTTAATATAAAACAGAATCACATTGTTTTCAATACAGCTCCAAGAATAAAATAAACATTATGCAATCTTTCTGAATGTTTTAAATATTTTTTATATTTATTATACATTTAAATAGCAAGTTATTAGTTTGGAAAGACATCTTTAAAGCTGTTGATGTTTAAGCTATTGTAAAGAGATGTGCTTTGAGTTTGAATTATTATTCCTGGAATATTCTTATTAGCACAAGTACTTCTTTATCAATCATTGTTCCATTCTTCTAACAATGAGAAATATTGCAAGAATGTTGGAATAGGAGTTGGATATTATGATGACAAGACAACTGGATTAAAAACTACAAACACAAATAAAGAAAACACAGGAATCTAAGGTTAGATTCTAAGGTATGTTTCTTATGCATACCAAAAATGTGTTATCCACTGGCATGGATGTGAAAAATGGAGTACAATTCAGTGGGGTAGATCACACTATTTATTGTGGGGTTCCAGCATGCAAAGGAAAAAGAAGGGAGAACAATAAAAAAGCATGATTATAAGAGTTTTAAATTGTGGGCAGAAAATTCTAGGGTTTGACCTCAGAGTCTTGGGACCATTTAGGAAAAATCAAATAAGTCTGATTGTGTAGTATAATGAGAGCTGTTTTGTTATTAAGGGAAAACTGTTTTTTTTAGAGGCAGAAGCTATGCTGGAAATAACCACTGGCTCTTATTCATACTGTAAGTAATGGATGTAAATGGGATTTTGCCTGATTAGCAAATTAACTTTGTACCATCTCCTTATAAAATCTGTCTTAAATTAAAGTTAATGTAAAGTTACTTTACCTTACGGGGAGATGGGTGGCATAAAAATTTAATAAAGGAAACAAAAAATAAAAATAAATGCAAGCCAGCTGCCAAGCATCCAAAATGCAATCATGTGATTGCTTAGAGAGGCAGCCATCAGATTTTTGAAACCAGGTCATAGGTAGCTCTGGAGAGGTCTGTCCTAAATTCAAACAGTTGCTAAGCAACCGGTCGTAAGTTGAGAATTACCTCTATTTGTGAAACAACTAAGGAAAGGCAAAAACTTTATTTTATATGAATCTGTTGAAAGAAAAATCTTCCTCAGGGTCCTGTCCAAGCTGAGAATAAACAAAATGGAGACTGCTTTAGAAAGATTGTTTATTGAAGAGCAAAACCAGACAGAAACATGGCTCTGGGAAAGCTGACCACATGTAGCTGGGAGCAGTGAGTTTTGATACCTTCTGGGGCTTTTGTGTGGAGTTCCTGTTCTTGTGGCATAAACTTTGACCTGAGGTTCTTTTGAGTGTGCCCTTTTTGATATTGGTGGGTTAATCCTATTATGTTTCCAAAAGTCATATCCTGCTTCCATGGAGCTGTGGCTGATGATTATTTCCTGTGTTAGATTTTTTGGGTTAGGGGTTGTTGATTCTAGGGATTTTTTGTCTTTCTAATCCCATCAGCTCTAAGATTCCTGGTGCCAGTCTTTCTGAAAGGATTATGATATCTTCGTTTCTAAAGAGCTGGTTTCTGCTTGGGGCTATTAAGAAAGAAAAACTGGTCATGCTTTTCTGCCTTTTTAAGATCCTTTGAGGAAATATAATATTCTGTCTTTTTAATATTTCCTTCTCTGGGGCGGGGGGCTGACTTCCCACAAACCTTTGGGTAGAGATAGCAAAACATGAAATAAATAATTTATAAATCTTGTGGGTTTACATAGCCTTCTTCTAAGTAGATCTAATTTTGGAAAAATATTAGAATCAAAATGGTAAATTCTGTATGTTCATTATGCATTAGCTCCATCTACTGTCTTGTCAATGCTGCATATAAAAAACACAAAAAGGGAATTTGTAAGAGCTTTCAATAGGAAAATCATATTGCTTGAAAAGAACACAAGATATAACTTCCTAATGAACCAACACTGCACAAGAGTTGAATGGAATTGTACTCCAACACATCTGGAAGCATCAAACCGCTCTAGCTAGTAAGAAATGAACAGGAATAACCATAGGAATACAGAAAACAGCAGGGTAAATTCATTTCCACCCAGCACCGAATTCACACAACACGCCAAACTCAGATTTACAAACAGCAGTTGCTGAGTTCACGTAAAGTGCTACGCCAAATAAATATTATGGATGATTAGGGCAGCCTGGCTCTAACATTTTCACATTTTAATTACTTGATTCTATTTAGCCTAATCTAGCATGTTGTGTGAATTCAATGAGGGTTGCAGAATAGACAGACTGGTTTCAGTTCTGAACCATTGACTAATTTAACTGAAATCTACACATCTCAAAATTACTGAGGTTGAGAAATACCGTCCTCACCGGACTCTCCCCACTTTCTCCTGCTCTTAACTTCAGCCTCCTTCAGCCTCCTTCAGGCCGATTCTTTGGCGTCAAACCGGAGCCAGTAATAGACGGTCAGCCACAAAAGCGCTGTGCCTCTCTTTCTTCCGTTCCTCCTCCGGAACTTTAATATCACGCCTCTTTCGGGCCAGTCGGGGAAGGATTTGGGCGAGGGACTAGGCGGAAGTGAGCTGACCAGGGGCCGTGATTGCAGTCGGGGGGCAAGCAAGACTGGGGGACGCCGGAGATAATCGGGGCTAGTCCCTTCCCTTTCGTAGCCTCTGTGCCCTGCCAGCGGCGGGGAGGAGGAAGGAGAGAGCAGCGGCAGCGCCGCCCGCGGGAAACTTGCAGGGCGCCAGGCTTGCCTTGGGGGGGGGGAGTGCTTGCGTGAGACTAACACGGGGGGGGCGTCTAGGCTCGTGGGGTGGGGAGCAGTTTCCCTTAGGATAAAGGCTCTTCCTTGGAAGGAGCTTCGGTCTCCGGGCAATCCGGTGGAGGGGCTGAAGAACGCATGGGGAACCCTAGCAGGAAAAGCCCGCCCAGGAACCCCTTTTCAGCGGCCTCTCGAGAACACCGGGTGCCGTTTTAAGAACCGGATCCCGCGGGAAGCCTTGGAAACAGCCCTGTTAGTGGCGGTGGTGGGAGCTCCCTTGGGGTTTGACTGACCGGGGGGGAGCTCCTGCAGGCTCTCAGCAAAGCGGGCGAGGGGTCCTGGAAGGACCTCTAGGAAACTTTCAGGCATGGCCACCCGGCGTTTAACAGACGCGTACTTGTTGTTGCGGAACAACGCGATCCAAAGCCGGCAGCTGCTGGCTGAGCAAGTGAGTAGTTACAGCTCCTCCAGTCCTCTGACTTCACGTAGCATGGCTGCTGCGGTGAGTCTCCCTTCATCCTACTGTATCCCACATGACCGCTTGTTTGTGTGCCGACCGCTTAGATATCAAGCATGTCTTTCGGGGTCCCCTCCACCCCTTTTTCCTTTTCTAAATCCTCTCCACTTTTCTCCAATCAATGGGAGCTGGTTGACTTTATTTCGCGTATATTTTCCAGTCCTCCTATTTTATACTAGGCAGCCCTAGCATCCATGCATGTGAACTTACTAAATGCACTGGTCAGCTGCTGCTATGTGACACAATGCTGGATTCAGCAAATCTCTTATTTTGGTAGTGCAGGGTACCAGCCTGGCTGGATTCATAAAGGGATTGGACTGATTCATGGATGTTATGGGGATCCAATGGCTATGTTATGCCATCATAACTTTTGAAGGCCATCTACTGGGAGATCAGTGGACTTCCTTGGGCAGATGGTTGGCCCCTGCAAGAAGACTGCTAAACTTACATGGGCCAGGGATCCCATCCAGCAGGGCACTTGTTACTTTTTATGTTTTTACTATACTTTGTGATTCCATAATAAATCTAATGCTAAGCTTTTTCTAAAGGTGGGTCATTCTATATATTTGTTGTGAAAAACATAGTCTATAAAGATGAGATCAGTTTCAGTTTTTAACCAGCTAAGGATAATAACAAAGTGACCAGAAATAGAAGATGCCTTTATTGCCTGGGAAGTAAATTCACCAATGTTTAATTCATGTGTGTGTGTGTGTGATGAAGGAAAATGTATTTTTTTCCCCATTTTCTAATCAATAGTACATGTATAACGATTATTATATAATGCAAAATGATCAATCCTTATTCATCCCATCAGCTGAAACTGCTTATGGCTAAGTATTGGTTTGCCTTAGAAAAGGCAATAGACCTGCCTGGCTGGTTTCTTTTTCTTTTCATTTGCCAGTTCACCTGACAAGGATACCTATAATCATTTTTCTTTTCTCTTGAACACACTCGGAAAAACTCAGATTTTTTTTTTTTAACAGAAGCATTTTATGCCATAATCTTGGAGGTGCACTAGAAACTAGTGAATACTTATCACTATGACTGGAAATATTTGTGTGCACCTAGACTGTGTTTTGTGGCATTTGAAATGCCTTTTATAAATTATACAGGTGGACATACAGGGGCAGTTAAAATTAATGTGGTCCTGTACTTTCTCATGCCATCCTTTAACCAATTGAGTGCCCTTGAACAAGCCTGTTGACTGTTTGAAACAGCCCATTACAATTTCAGAACAGACTGTGTGTTGAAGTCAGGATATTTCTTCTAAGGGTGGAATACTCAAACTCTTAATATTTCTGGACACAACTATTTAGATGCATAATGGGGAGTTTCAGGCTCAGAGTAGTAGTAATACAATATATTTTGAATACCTTCTGAAAACTTAATATCTAGTATCAAATACAGAAGTTAGTGGTGCAGATAGCAGTAGCAATAGTTCGTGTGATTTGGTTGATATAATGCTGATAGGGTCACATGTTTCTTGAGAGTGGATGAATGAAAATAATTTATTACTATCTGAGGTAGAGAATATCTAGTTTATCTTCAAATGTTTTTGAATTAGACTAAAGAAGGGGTTCTCAAATTCTTCACCTCACTGACCCCTCCATGAATTTTCTAGATTGTTTATTGATTCCCCAAACATTATTTGTATTTGAAAATTTAATAAATACTACTTTAACTTTTACCTTTTCTATCTTTATTATGAATAATAGTCCCTTGAATAGTCCCATCAACTCTTGGGGTTGATATTGACCACTTTGGGAAACCCTGAACTAAAAAAATGTTTCTTCCTCATCCTTTATTTGCAATGGATCTGCTAATATAGGCAGTATCAGCTGAATAGAAGTGGTCCTCCTCTTACGACCGTAACAGAGCCTAGAATTTCCATCATAAGTCATGACAATCATAAGTTGAGGCACCCTTGTGACCGCACCTGAGTTTACAACTGAAATTTTAATAAAATAATCCACCACTTTCCTCCCCAGCAATTAATTGGTAAGATATGTCAGTTTTCCAATTTACTGTGTTTTAGCTGGCAGTATAAAAATCTTAGAGGTTTAAGCAGATCCATTATCCAACCATCCCTCCTTAAGTAGCTGATTTCTGCATTGTGCATTCAGAATAGTTTTTGCTATTTTGGTCTTGTAGTATTTCCAGAGTTATTCCTTCAAGTGATACTGCTGAACTAACTGAAAATGCTGTGTAAAATTACTATGGAGTTCACAGCAGTTTTGAAATGCTAAAGAAGAGTATAATCAATTAAAGAAGACTATAAAACAATAACCAGCTTAATGTAAAAGGCATGCTACATTGCACACAACTTTTGACATGGACTATGCTCTGTGGGTGTGGTCAAAGGAGGCAGCTGAAGCCATCCAGTTGCTTGAAAAAATAGACTTTTATAGCACTGAAACAAAAGGACTTAAAGCAAACAGGTGTATTAGTATTAAAGAAAAATAGACAGGTATCTGTGCAGAATAGAGCAGCGTTCTTAGTAGCAGAAATTATTGGAATGAACTAAATTGTATAAACTGATAGGCTTTATATGTCATCTGTCGTTGTTCCAGCATTAATGAAGGGCAGATTAAGTCTCTTTAGTATGCTATCCATTTCCACCTACATGAACAAAATTTCTTTTTACTTTTTAAACTGACCTAGTTCCCCCCCCCCCAACATCCCTATATATTGTGCCTCATTTTTCATTTATTTTTTGACCTGCTGGAAAGGAGACCTGGAGCTCCACTTGGTTCAGCAGGCAAGAAACATAAGACTAAACTGGGGATGGAAGTTGTGACTGGACAGTAAAATTGTAGGATCGAAAGTATCCTGAAGAATTCATCTAGTCCTGCTAATTTATTAATGCAATTCTCTGTGTAGAGAAGCCTTCTTAAAAAATAGCAACAGTACTGAATGTGAGAAATCCTTTGAATCCCAACTTGACCCCACTTGATTCTGAAGCTAATTCCAGTTTAGAGATTGGTTGATGAATACTGCCCATACAGACTTTTTGTAATGAATAATCTGCATGTAATCTGCATGTAATCTTTGACTTTTTTTCCTGTTCCATTACAATGTTGTCATATGTGCATAAGCCAATGGATTGTTTTTAGATATTTCATGGCTACAGAGTTTAAATCTTAAACTTAAGATCCCTATATATTATTTTAATGTGTATAGTGCATTTTAACTGAAAGTTTGTAAGTCGCCTATAGTCACTGTGGCAAGATGAGCAGCATATAAATTTGGTAAATAAATGAAGAGTTGTGTTATTTTCAAGTGTCATGTAACTGAGTTAAGTTGAAATCAGATCCCCTAAACTTGGATTCAATGAACAAGTTTGGATTGAATGATTTTTCATTGGCTAGGTGAGGGGTAGGCAACCTTGGCTCTTTTATGACTCGTGGACTTCAACTCCCAGAATTCCTGAGCCAGCGTGGACTTCAACTCCCAGAATTCCTGAGCCAGCCAAGCTGATTCAGGAATTCTGGGAGTTGAAGTCCACGAGTCATAAAAGAACCAAGGTTGCCTACCCCTGGGCTAGGTTAAGTAGAAAGTTCTATCATATTAAGAATTAGCAATTTATACTGTTTTTGAGAGTTTGCCTTGGTTTTCCTTTTATTTCCTTAATGAACTTTTTAAAAAGTTTCTTATGTAAAGCTCTTAAAATGTGCATTTCTTTACAGATCAAGAACATGATTAGAAATATATTGAAAGGAAAAATACAGTATGCAGCTATTCCCAAAGTCGAATGCCAAATCCACTTGAAAACTGATACTGCTTTAAAAGACTGTTTTGTTTTCTGTGATAATCTGCCAATGTTGATCAATAAAATACTTGCATTCCTTCAACTGACTGTACCCTGTGCTCTGTCCTATTCTTTTTGTTTCCCTCTCTTAAAATTTTTGCTGTCTCTATATGGATGGGCTGATGTGATCAACAAACCATCTCAGGAGCTGGATGAGGTATAGTGCTGCTTGTCTAATCTGTTCTTTCAAATAAAATGTCATTCAAAGTTGCCTTGTCTGGCAAGTCAACTACTGCATTTAACTTAGGGTTATTTCTTCTGGGGATTTTCCAAAGAGAAATCAGAAGGCTGATTTGCAAATAGTTGTCTGGAATTTGTCTCTGATTTACTTCATTTCCTCACTTATTGTAATATGCATGGATACTGAACTGGCCAAGATTTAAAATATTTCTGTTTAAACCAGTTATGGCCAATCTATGGCCCATGGATTGCAAGCAGCCCTTGACAGCTAGTAATGTGACCCCCACAAAAGAGTAACAAATAAAAAATGAAGTGTGTTGTGTATATACAATAACTATATTATTTATGTGGCCCAGACAATTCCTCTTCATTCAGTGCGGCCCAGGTAAGCCAAAAGGTTGGATAACCACTATATTTTATCACAGCCTTCTTCTCTGAAATATTATAGCTCAGAGTGATTAGTGATTAATGCCACGAAGTGGGCTTTTTGTAGCGAATCTTAGTATTATGCTTGCTAAACATGTATAGCAAGCATAACAGTAAGTTAAAGTTTTTAGTGGTGGAAAGTTCAGACTAAATATTCAGTCTGGTTTTCTGAGTTGATTTCCCAAGTTTTAGGATGATAATCCTAAGCGCTGGTACTCTCTAGTAAACGTGCATTGTTTAACTACCGTGCTTGGTATTACACAGTACAGTACACAGTACATTTCAGTTATGTGCTTCAGTTATGTGCTTCTACTCAAGAGATAATGTTGATTTTGTTTTTCTCCTCACGGGAGTTGTGTGAAGCACTGTAGCCTGAGTACTACTGCACTACTGTTATTTAGTATTTAGACTGAGGAGAGTGGAAGCTTCTTTGTCTGATATATTAATAAATTTAAGTCTTCTGGGTGTACTGTTCCACACCAATGCCTTAATAGAAATCTTATCAGAAATAACACTTCTGTGGCTTTGCCCCAGACAAAGAGAGAGCATGGGCAGGGAATAATACCTGCCCTCTGGGCAAGGCTCTAGGCAAGGCCTGTGACCGTTCTCTGTGGATATGCCAGGAAATCAGCACAACCTAGCTCAGGGGTAGGCAACCTTGGCTCTTTTATGACTCGTGGACTTCAACTCCCAGAATTCCTGAGCCAGCTTGGTTGCCTACCCCTGACCTAGCTGGACCCTGCAACCCATATTTAAGAGTCCAGACAATTCTTCCCCAGGGCAGAACTAGCTCAGTTATTTTGCTGTTACCTTGTGCTCCTGTCCCAACTGTAAAATGCCATCGGCACAGGAGGATGTGAACATTGGCTGTTTATCCAGGCATTTATATTTAGAAGACCAAAAACTAGTGCTGGCTGTTGCCGCAAACATTTCCCTTTTACATTAGCTTCTAAAGCTCTGGATGTATACAGACACATTTTATTAGCTTAGTTTCAGCATAATTGCCATTTCCTTTTTCTAGAACTAACTAAAGTCTAAGAATACTGAAATGTATTAACTGGCATGTTTACTTGGAAATGAATGAAATGTAGAGGTTTAACTCTGCAGGTAGGTTTTGATTCTTAAATATACCGCTAGGAAGATGTGAGGGCCAGTTTTTAAAATGGAAGTGCCACTGCAGATGACCCAGCCTATTTAATATGGTGGATTGCTTTAAGAATTCCTTAACATTTTCTCAAACCAGGAGCTAACAGGATCTGAACAAACTATAAATAATTTTAATATCTCAAGCCTAGCACTTCCTTTAATTATAAAGCCAATTGTAGATTTTTATATAGCTTCCTGAAGAAACAATGCTCTTTCATGGGTTGTGTTTTCAGAAGTGGCCAGCAACTACTTGTCCTTAATAAGCAAACGTTGCCTGGATGTTAAATGAAAGAACAGTGCCAAAGTAACTGGGACCCTGGGCTAGTTAAATTCTCAAACATATAGATTAATTTGGAATGAATGCCCAAAATCAGCTCCCTCTATCCTGTTTTTCCACTATGCCTTTTGGGTTTCAGTTTCAGTCATCCTTTGTGACTTAGTGTGCACATCAAGCTGAGTTGTTATTTATTAGGCCATGACTTGCTAAATAAATTATATTAGAATGATTCTGTCCAACATGCTATGCCAAACCTCATTTTGGCTTAGTCCAATGTGTTAACCCAGTCTACTAGAATTGCACTTTTTAAGATCCCATCATTCCAAAGTCTAAGAATGTTATATCAAATACTCTATTTGCTTCAAACTCAGTCTTGATTTAAGCCAGTATGGAGGTTATACCTACCTACCGTATTTCCCTGAAAAAAAGACCTAACCGGAAAATAAGACCTAGCATTATTTTTCAGGATACTGCTAATATACGCCGTATCCCCAACATAAGCCCCAGTTAAGATAGTTAGCCAGACGGAGGCATTTACCATATTTCCCTAAAAATAAGACCTAACTAGAAAATAAGCCCTAATGCGTCTTTTGTTTTGTTTGTTTTTATTAGTTTTATTCATTTATAACATAAAATGTGAAAATACGAAAGCAAATAGTAGGGGACAACAGTAGAAAAATGGAAAACAAAAAAGGTATGAAGAAAGGGAGGGGACAAAACAAAAGGCATTGACTTCCGACTCTCTTGTTGCAGTAAAATCAAACATTAAAATCAAATCTCAACTTTTTACATTTCTATAATAATATACACTAACCATTTCTGTTATCAGCAAATCAGTCTAATCGGTAAAGCCAAAATCATAATATTTTTTTCCACTTCAAGCACAAAGTCCAGAAGCGGTTTCCAAGTAGAAACAAAAGTACTTATGTTCTTTTCTTTTATTGGTACAGTCAATTTGGCCATCTCTGTTAATTCTATCAGCTTTTGTAATCATTTGTCCATGGCAGGAATCAAGGCATCCTTCCACTTTTGTGCATAAAGCAATCTTGCTGCCATCACCATGTATAAAATCAGAATTCTAATTTTTTTTGTTCAGTTCTATTTCCATGAGACCCAGAAGGAAATTTTCTGGTTTAATCTTAGCCCTAATGTGTCTTTTGGAACAAAAATTAATATAAGATCCAGTCTTATTTTCTGGAAAATATGGTACCTACGTCTTCAAAGATCTTTTTGATGTCTTGATGATGGATATACCGCTAAGCTGGACATAAAATGTTCTTTGGTCTTTGAAAAGAAAATAGTAAAATAAAGTTGTCCTTTTAATAGTTACCAGTCTTGGCCCAAAATTATTTATCATATATTAACCTCATATTAGCCTCACTTCAATTGCATAAAAAGCACATGTATGTCTGGAAAGTAATATAGAAAATAACAAAAACTGAAATAATTTTTCTCTACTTAATTTTGTTTTTCTTTATAACTTTTTGAAGGTGTCCAAAACTAAATATTTCTTTTTTAAATTACTGTATGAGCCTTCTTTCCATTTGGCCTCTGTCACCACTCTAAATACTTCAAGCCCTTCTTTTTCCTTGTGTATCTGCTTTTCTTGCCTAACTATTTTTTCAAACTTGGCTTCCCTTTAAGTAAAACTCTGCATTTATGTACAATATATTTAACATCACTGTGAAGTGAAGCTTGGCTTGGGAATTTGTTTGTCAAACGGTATGAATGAGTCATAAGTTGAAATATTTTAGGTATTATTTACCTATTTACCTATTTACAGCTTTTCCCTTAAGCCAATGGTTTTCATTTAAATCTGAGAGAACTTTGTACATCAGCTTGTCTACCAAAGAACTCTTATGATTTCCTGCCATAGAACCCCTGCAAACGGCGGAGTTCTGAAGGGAGGACACTCTAGGATGCATGTTTGTTTGCAAGTATGGTGATCAAGTTTGTAGATTCCTATAATTGTCTTACATGATTATTTCAATGAATATATTTAGTTCTTCTTTGCAAATCTAAATTAAAATGGAAAAATCTAACAGTGGGCAGATTTTACAATTTGTCTATCATTACAGATGCAGAATCAGTTTGGTCTAATGCAGGGGTTCCCAACCGGGGGGTGCGAGACGATATTCCAGGGGATGCGAAAACTTGGGTTTTCAAAATTATAGTGTATATGCATAAGGGGTGCGAGAATATATCAGAAGCGTTCTAAGGGTGCGGGGTATAGAATAGATTGGGAGCCGCTGGTCTAGTGGTTAAAGCAGCAGGCTAGAAACTGGCAGACCGTGAATTCTAGTCCTGCCTTAGCCATGAAAGCCAGCTTGGTGACTTTTTCTCATTTTGATTCACAACAGTCTAAAGACATTTCTTATATTTTTCTCCAGCTTGCAGATGACCGCATGGCACTGGTATCAGGTATCAGTTTAGATCCTGAAGCAGCTGTCTGTGTAACTAAGAGGTTGCCTCCCAAGTGGATTGATGGTATAGAAGAAGTGAGTCTCTCTCTCTCTCTCTCTCTCTCTCTCTCTCCCTCCCTCCCTCCCTCCCTCCCTCCCTCTCTCTCTCTCTCTCTCTCTATATATATATATATATATATATGTGTGTGTGTGTGTGTGTGTGTGTGTGTGTGTGTGTGTCTTTGGTTGTTCGGGTTTTCTCCCGCGTAAAATTGGAAGTGTCTTAGCGACGTTTCGACGAAGTCCCATTCGTCATCTTCAGGCGACATTGCTGCTCAAAGCACGAAGCTGAAAACACCAGCCTGAAGATGACGAATGGGACTTCGTCGAAACGTAGCCAAGACACTTCCAATTTTACGCGGGAGAAAACCCGAACAACCAAAGACCTACATACAAATACCCACGAAAACCTCAGAAAACACACACACACACACACACACACACACAACATATATATATAGGTCTTTGGTTGTTTGGGTTTTCTCCCGCGTAAAATTGGAAGTGTCTTGGCGACGTTTCGACGAAGTCCCACGAAGCTGAAAACACCAGCCTGAAGATGACGAATGGGACTTCGTCAAAACCTCACCAAGACACTTCCAATTTTACGCGGGAGAAAACCCAAACAACCAAAGTCCTACATACAAACACCCGCGAAAACCTCAGAAAACACACACACACACACATATATATACACATACATACATATATATACACATACATACATATACATATACAGAATATGATCACATATACATATATTCTGGAAAAGCAGTAGTAAAAATTGGCAGTATTAATGTGTTTACTTATTTTTTATCTTTCAATGTTTAGGGCAGAATGTAAAATTAGAAAAAAATGATGATGATGATGATGATAAAAGTTGGAAGGGACCTTGGAAGTCATCTAGTCAACCTGAGTTGTAGTTATAGTATCGAGTTATAGTTTTAAAAATATTCAGTAGGGGTACATGATACCCAAGTAACTCCACAAAATAGTCAAATCAGAATTTGCTTTTTACAATTCTTCACAGTATTTCAGATTTTAAGAGAGAGAGGGGCGGGGCATAATAATTGGTGAAATACAGATTGTCTACGACAGGTATGTCCAACAGGCGGCCCACGGGCCAGATGCGGCCCACACTAGCCACACCCACCCGGGCCCTGCAAGGGCAAAAAATCCAACCTGATAAGTCACAATATGGCCCGCGATGCAATTGGGCTTGACACCCCTGGTCTATGACTTACAACAGTTCATTTAGTGACTGTTCAAAGTTATAACAGCACCGAAAAAAGTGACTTATAACTGTTTTTCACAGTTATGACTTTTCTGGCATCCCCATAGTCATGTGATCAAAATTCAGATGCTTGGCAACTGGTTCATATTTATACTGTTGCTGTGTCCCAAGGTCAGGTGATCACCTTTTCTGCAAAGTCAATGGGGAAGCCAGATTCACTCAACAACCGGGTTACTAACTTACCATCAGCTACAGTGATTCACTTAACAACTGTGGCAAGAAAGGTCATAAAATGGGGCAAAATTCACTTAACAAATGACTCACTTAACAACAGAAAGTTTGGGCTCCGTTGTGGTTGTAAGTCAAGGACTGTCTATCAGTGTGGCATTTTATTCTCCTATTTATAAAGGAAGAGAGTTTTGGGAGGGGAATCCATTTGATATTTGCAAAGATTCAAATTGCTAGCATTAGCTGGAAGAGGAAATTTGTAGGGTTAAAGACAATAGGATTCCTAAGGAAATAGTTGAACTATCTTGTTCACATCGCACTTAAAAAGGAATAAGTGAAATTACAGGTAGTCCTCGACTTGCGACTACAATTGAGCCCAAAATTTCCATTGCTAAGCAAGAGATTTGTTAAGTAAGTTTTGCCCCATTATATGACCTTTCTTCTTAGAGTTTTTAAGTGAATTCCTGCAGTTGCTAAGTTAGTAACATGGTTGTTAAATGAATCTGGTTTCCCCATTGACTTTGCTTGTCAGATGGTTGTAAAAAGGGATCACATGACCCCGGGACACCGCAACCGTCTTAAATACATGCCAGTTGCCAAGCATCTGAATTCTGATCATGTGACCAGGGGGATGCTGCAATGATCATAAGTGTGCAAAACAGTCATAAGTCATTTTTTTTCAGTGCCAACTTCAAATAGTCACTAAATGAATAGTTGTATGTCAAGAACAACCTGTATTTCATCAGTCTAGTTTTGACTGAATTCGGTTTCTTGGTCAAGACAGTGAGAAATTAATTCAGATCAAGCATTTTGGAAGTGATCTGAACCTAAAATATGCTGAGTTTTTCCCTCTGTGGAGCCAGCCCTAAGTCTGAAAAGGGTAAAAAAGAATCCACTTCTGTGTATATAGTTGAAAATGAATAGCAATGTGATCTTTTAAATATAATCAAGTTCTTTTAACTTTACTATTGTCTAGAATGTTTTCTTCTCTTAAGTTTCTTTGTTTCTAATTTTGTCCTTATTTTTTTTTAAATTTCATTTTAAGATTCAATATGAGATATCCAGGATAAAACAGAAGATGAAAGAACTAGCCAGTTTGCATGACAAGCATTTAAACAGACCGACTTTGGATGACAGCAGTGAGGAAGAGCATGCAATAGAAATAACCACTCAAGAAATTACACAGGTGCCACTGTAGTTCTCTTTTTAAAATCTAATTGAGTTTTACCAAATGCAGATATGTGAGTAAGTTGCCCTAAGCTCCCTTGGATAAAGTGAAAAATTCAGCAGTCAGAAGTCAATTTTGTTTGACTTCTTAAACAATTTTTTTAATTGCAATATTGTACTAATATATGAATATATATGTATTTTTAAGGAGAAAAATGCAAAGGTTTTAAGCATCCGCAGTCAAGAATTCCAGCCAAAATGCATTTGTGTAGATTGATGGTAATGGAAAAAAATGTTATTATCATTTTAAACAATGGAGACCCAATTTAAAAACAGTACTTAAAATTAAAGATGAAACAGTACTTAAGATTCTATGTTATAGATTTAATCGTTCAGCTGTTCAAGCTATACATAATTTCAAATACCACTGATGCAAATAAAGATTTATTTCAGCTTAACAACATTTTGCAACAGTCTAACACGTGAAGAAGAAATTGAAGTAATTGCATGGGTTTATAAGACTTGGGAAAAGGTTGTTGAATAATTTCCCCATTTTTCTTGAAAAAAAATCAAACACTCTATACCAGCAGAGATAATAGAAATTTGGTTAGAAATCCTCTGATGCTAAATCTACCTCACCTCCTGGATTATTTTGCTGGGCTGGTGTTGGAGACCCTAAGTTACTTGTCCTAGGGGATTTCAGTTTCTCACAATGTGACAAAACGTCTGGGATTTCTCAAGCCATGAAGTTCATGGCTCCAGAGCAACCATGGATTTGATCCAGGTCATTGACAGTCCAGAACAAACTGGAGGTTGCACATTGCACCTGAGTTTTTTTTACTTGGGGCAAATGTGGCATGATCTGGTTTTAGAGGACATTACCATCCATCCATTGCCCTGGTCAAATCACTTTCTGATTGTTTTTTGGCTTGCTGGGGTGATCTCCCACTTGTTTAAGATTGTTATGTCCTACTGGGAAGCAGTAAGACCCTAAGACAGGGGCCTTCAAACTTGGCCCTTTTATGACTTGTGGACTTTAACTCCCAGAATTCCTCAGCCAGCGTGCCTCACTGAGGAATTCTGGAAGTTGAAGTCCACAAGTCATAAAAGGGCCAAATTTGAAGACCCATGCCCTAAGAACTTATATTGATCCTTATGGGGATTATTTTTGCTACAGTATTTTGCTGGCAGATAAAGTCACTCAGATCTATTTCCAATTGAAATCCAGTGGGCAGGTCCAGTTGAGCTTCCTGGAGTTATCTGGGGAAAGTTTGAGACTGTGACACAAAAGTGGACAGAGTTCTCCGGATTGTGAACCTAGATCCAGGTCCCACCTGATTGGTCAAATCTTCCTGAAATGTTGATCTTTGACTCAGGTTGTTTCCCGGGTTTTGAAAGAGGTAATGGTCTACCAGCTTTTCAAGAGACCATTGGTGGATCCAATGATTCTGGAAAATTTTTATCCAGTTTCCATCCTTTCATTTGAGGAAAACGTTGTTAAATGGCATCTGCTTCCTGCACTATTTTGAAACTTTCAAAAGCTTGATCAACTGTACGTAGGCTCCTTATTATACCTCAGTCTGGATTTTGTTTTTTTTCATAAAGGTCAACATAGCTGTTTTTGCTTTTTATTGAAATCACCAGAAACTCAGCACAAATAATTACTGTGAGGTTAAATTAAGTTAGCCTTTAAGGCAGGGTCTTCAAACTTGGCCCTTTTATGACTTGTGGACTTCAACTCCCAGAATTCCTCAGCAGGCACACTGGCTGAGGAATTCTGGGAGTTGAAGTCCACAAGTCATAAAAGGGCCACGTTTGAAGACCCCTGCTTTAAGGCATAGTTGAATGTAGCTACAGCTTTAGAGGATAAGCTTACTTGAGTTTAAAAAAATAGTTTCTAGGGGGGTTTTTTTGAATTTTTTTTTTTGTTGTTGTTGTTAATTGTACCAGGAATGCTTGCTGCTGTTTCACTATAAAAATGATTTGTCTTCTCTCTCTCTTATTTTTCCCAGCTATTTCACAGGTGTCAGAGAGCAGTCCAGGGTTTGCACAACAAGTCTCGAAGCTGTACAGATCAAGAGTGCCGACTTCTGAAGAACGTTGTGTATTCCTTAGCTCAGTCTCTACAGGACCTCTCCACCAGCTTTAGGCACGGGCAATCTGACTATCTCAAACGTAAGCAATGCACCAAATGCAGCCTTTTATAGCAGGGCACCTTCCCTTCTTTCACTTGTGGCTGGAGAGTCTTAATGACAGCAGTCTTCTTGTTCTTGTAGGCATGAAAAATCGAGAAGAAAGATCCAAACATTTCTTTGACACCTCAGTCTCCCTCATGGATGATGAGGAGGATACGACACTCTACGATAGGGTAGGTCAGTGATGGCGAACCTATGGCACAGGTGCCAGAAGTAGCACTCAGAGCCCTCTCTGTGGGCAAGTGCGCCGTTGCCCCAGTCCTAGGCCTTCAGCTGGGTTTTATAAAAACTTTTTGCTTTAGACCTCCGCTGCTATGTATCCCCCCCAAAATGGTTCAATCAATCAGTCAATTTCAACTTCTCGCGGGAAAAAAAAAGATCTTGCAAAGTTGGAATTGATTGATTGAACTTTTTAGTTCCACCCAGTTTACCGTTACCACCGCAGCCACGCCCACCCAATGGGCCACACCCACCCAGCACCCGACGATGCATAAGTGGGTTTTGGGTTGCAGTTTGGGCACTCGGTCTCTAAAAGGTTCGCCATCACTGGGATAAATAGTTAACTGAATTGTGTGTATGAAAAGTACAAAGCATCTGGTATTCATTTGCCTGCTATGAAGAATTTGAAGGTAATGATTGAATGCAGCCATTAAGGATTAGTGAGTCTCTTTTTTACTAAGGTGCAAATTTTTTTAGAAGAGACGAACTTTTGAAAACTACATACTATTTGCTAGCAGGCCAAAGAATCAAAAGTACCTTCACCACTCCCTTTTCTCTCTCTCTCTCTCTCTCTTGTTCCCTTTCTGATATTTTTCTCTATTTCTGATTGTCCAGCAGGCAATAAACAATAAATCACTCTTGCAGGAGGGCTTTAGAATTAAGCCAGCAGTCCCATATGATCCCCTGGCTTAAGGCTGACTACCTGCTGCTAAAAAAAATTGCACTTGCTCTCTAGGATCTCTGCCAAAAATCATCCTCCTAGTTGCTGGAAAAAAATTGTATCACTGTTGGATTTTTAGACTCTTCGTTATAAACTGGTTCATTGGAACTTTCAAAAGGTGCAACCCGGCTCGGAAGGGCTGACTTTGTGCCACAATTATAGCACTTATCTTTTTAAAAGAAAACTTTTAAGGGAAGTATTAAAGAGATGGTGGGGGGGGGGAAGAGAAGAATATTTTGAAAAGTAAAGGAGTAAAATTACATCGTGTGTTTGGCTGGGAATCTATGAGTATACCGTTCAGTTTGAAATCTTTTTTTTTTTTTTGCATATTGAATGATGCAATGTTTTTAGCTATTTAGCTAATCTGGCATTTTTGTTTTTGTTTTAATAAGGGTTTTACAGATGACCAGTTAGTATTAGTGGAACAAAACACTATTTTGGTGGAAGAGCGGGAACGAGAAATTCGACAAGTTATACAGTCCATTACTGATCTTAATGAAATTTTCAGGGATTTAGGAGCAATGGTAGTCGAACAGGTAAGTGGCTCCTTGATATCAATGCTATTTGCATCTTATAAGATCTTGGGTTTGAACATTGTACAGGTAGTCCTCGACCTTACACTTACGACCGTTGCAGCATCCCTGTGATCACGTGATCAAAATTCGGATACTTGGCAACTGTATGTATGGCAGTTGCAGTGTCCCAGGGTCATTGCAAATACCTTTTGTGATCTTCTGACAAGCAAAGTCAATGGGGAAGCCAGATTCACTTAACAACTGTGGTAGGACAGCTTGTGGCATGGGGCAAAACTCACTTAACAACCGTCTCACTTAACAACAGAAATTTTGGGCTAAATTGTGATTGTAAGTCAAGGACTACCTATATGTGCATGTCCGTGTGTGTGTGTGTGTGTGTGTGTTCAGTGGATGTGAAAGAAGCTGAAGAAAAAGCATGTAAGAGAATGAGGGCAAGAGAAAGATACTGTATTACCTAACATGCTTTAGATTGAGAAAAAGATAATGGGAACAACAAAAAGTAAAATTGCAAAAAGCAGAATCATTTTGGGTGGGTGAAATGGGTCCCAGAAGAACTAATGGAATTAAAAATAAAAGTCATCAAATGATTGAAGGGGAAATTGAAGAAATATTTTAGAGGTTTTTGTGGGAATTATAGTGATATGTTGACGATGGAATTTAAATGAATGGCATACAATAATTATAAATATCCAAATAAAAATAATTAAAAGGCAGGCATAAAAACCAGGAAGGGAATCATAATTTTTGCTCTTTTGTGTGCTTCTGAGAAATGTACGAGAAAGGAAGTTTCTTGTATGTGTACTGAGCAAGAAACAAGACGAGGATGAATTATCTCCCTTTGGTTCTTCAATATATTTCTATATTGAAATATGGAATATTCAATATTTCTGTACTGAAATATATATATGTATATGTGGGTGTGGATGTAAATATATATATACATGCACATAGACACACACATGGTTAGAGGTGTAGAGGGAAGGTTCACCAGATATTCCACTTATTTTTGTACATGCTTTACTTTCATCATATCCTGGTTTTCCAGCATTCAGTAACCAACATTCTATAATTTAATACATATTGCATTTCAATCACTCAATCTTTATTTTCATCACAGATCAACCTTTCAACCTACAGAACTAATGCATATTTTTTTTCTTCAGGGTACTGTACTTGATAGGATTGACTACAATGTTGAACAATCATGCATAAAAACAGAGGAAGGATTGAAACAGCTACATAAAGTAAGCAGAGAATGTGTTTCCGATGTCCTATTCTGAATGCCACTATTTCATACTGTTGAGGAGCTTATTATTACAATTCCAGAAATGTGAGGCATAACATTTTTTCTTTCCATGTCTATTATTTTAGAAGTTAAAAGGACAATAATGGCCACTAAAATTAAGGGAATTAGACAAATGGCTTCTATCCTAGATATCTCAATATCTAGCATTTAATGATTGTATGTTAATGTGATTACATTTTCCTGATTATTTCACTGCATTTCTCCCACATATTTCTTTGCAGTTTATAGATGGGTATTCTATTTCTTTTTACCCACAGTACTGTAAAATAGTCTAGGTGTAAAGGTTGAATTGAGTTCATAGAGTTGAGTTCTATGGGTATTAAAATAATTCCTTATCATTTGTGGGATATAAATCAGTTATGCTACATATACTTATGCCAGAAAGGGAAAATTGATATATTTATAATCTGTTTGGTACCAAACCTCCTATAGCAGTTTATATAATGAGAAATAAATGCAAACGAAAATCTAGTGTCCACAAAACAAAGTCCAGAAAACAACAAGAGCAACAACAAAAAAAAAAAAAATCAGAAAACAAAGGAAACATTAGGAATTAAGTCAAAAAGGTTTTGTCTTTAGTTCCTTGGGATATAAGAGGGGTGAAATGAAAATGCAGTCACGCTTTTAAGACTAACCAGAAAACTGACTTCACCAGCTTGATTAGAGTATGTACTGATACAGACTGTAGTAACATAACCTTTAAAGCCTAAAGCCTTTTTCGCTTCCCTTATATAAGGAATGAAGGCAAAAGCCACTCTAAATCCATTCCTTTTTTTTTTCTGTCTTTTTCAAGCTTAAAGCACATTTCTGTGCATATTATAGTCATCATCTCTGCTTAGTTTCTCCAAGGTCATTTCTTATTCATTATTTAAAATAATTTATTTTCTGCTATCTACAGGAAATAACCTGTGTTAAATTCCTCTTTTCTGTGTCTGCAGACTGAGCAGTATCAAAAGAAGAATCGGAAGATGCTTATCATTTTAATTTTGTTTGTCATAGTTATTGTCCTTATCATTGTCCTTATTGCTGTAAAATTTCGCTAGGCAATGTGCCAGGGATGTTTTTCTTTCTCTCTGTGTTTATCTGAGAGGTAGCAACAAATTTTTGTGTGTTGTGTTTCTCCTGTTTTTGTTCCTGAGAGCCTGTGCTCTTGAAAGCTGCCTGTTGGACAAATGTACGAGATCTAATGGTGCAAAGTCTGTGCAGTGTTCATACAGAAAACCTGTTTTACATGTTCAGTGAATATGGAACGCAGTGATTTGTAAAAAAATGTGTAGAAATGTCAGAATTTCTGAGAAAAGCTACCAAATCAGGCATTTCATTTATCCAGGCCACTGAAACTCTAGAATGAATTTTTAAAAGTGATTTAAACATTTTGGAAAGTGCTTTTACTAAACAGGAATAATAATGTGCTTTCTACCATGACGTAGCCTACAGTTAATTTTAGGGTAAGCTGTCCAAATTGTGATGTGGACATCATTCCCAAAACTATTGAGTTGGAGATTTTAAATAATGCCTTAAACATACAATATTTCCACTTTACCATTCTCCCCTCCAGAGTTAGTATTAGTATGGGTTCACAGAAATAAAAAAGATTTCTAATTTCATTCTATTATTCCAAAAGTGGTGGTTGGCATTATCAATAATATTCTAATCGCAGGGAGTATTGTAGTTTTAAGATTATTTTTAATTTTTAAATAATCAGGAATGTGTTTTGATTATTTCCACCTCTTCCCACTATTGAACTGAAAGTTGTTTCTCTGATCCCTTTCTGAATCTTCCTTTCAAACTGAATCTGTTAATACACAGCAGCAGTTACACATTTCATCTTATTGTTTTCAGAATGTGAAGGGGAAAGGGTGTGGTACAATTCATACACAGTTTAAATTGAACTAGTGACAATATCAGGAACTTACATCTAAATAAAATAACTTTTCAGCTGTGAAATCTCAGGAGAATTTGGAATCCTGTTCAGCCGAGAGCAGATGTTGCTCTGCCTCAGTATTACTTGTTTCTCTAACATAGTAGGTGGCTGTGCTGAAAAACAGTTTTTGTGATTAAAAAATACATATATTTAACTGTAACTTAAAATTGCATGGCAATTTGGGGCCATTGGTGTTCAATCCCTTTTTTTTTAAAGCATTTTGTACTGAAGAACTTAAAGGTTGTAGTTTGCATTCTCTTTTTGCTGTGATTTAGCAACACCACTTGCCACCTTTTTTTAATTGTCTTGGATTCTTATCCACTTGATCGTGCAATAATTGCAACACTGCCGTGCACTTGTTACACCTTGTTTTCTTCCTTTCATCCAGCTCTTTGCATCGTTCAGATTTCTTGTATCTGAGACAGGGAAACAGAAATCATAGCTCTCCCTTCGGGTCACTGGGAGATTCTGCTTGCTAGATAAAGGGAGAATCCCACATAGCATTTCTATAGTTGAAGCCCCTTTGACGTAAAGAGGATGGCCACAAGAGAATTGTGTTCAGCTGTTGCTGTTATTCTGTCAGTGAAAAGGTAAAGAAGTGCTCTTAGTGAACTCTGCTCAGCTATTTTGATTCGTCTCCTATTTACAGGAAGTTGCTTTATACCCAGGGTAGTCAACCTTGGCTCTTTTATGACTCGTGGACTTCAATTCCCAGAATTCCTGAGCCAGCCAAGGTTGACTACCCCTGCTTTATGCCTTCTGATACAGTGGACCATTGCTTCCCGGAAGAATGGAATCCAGGTTCTTTATATTCTCATCTGCAGCAACTATCAGTTGTACAAGTAGATTTGTGATTTGAACAAGTTCTGGCCCAGCCAAATAGCAGTAAATAACAAGGTACAGATAGCATGAGAAATATGGAAACATACTGTATTTTATGCATGTGCAAAAATCCATTTGCTCCTTATGTATGCATAAAATAGACAAAAATATGCCAAGAATGATGGTTGCCAGGGTCTGGTCTGTATTTTCTAACTGGATAACAAGGGCCGCCTTATTTGCTGAAAGTATCATTCTGTTATTTAAAGTAGAATACCAATTATAGCTGACTTCTTTCTTCTCAAAACAAGAAAAAGCTGAGCATCTGTTGACTTAAGTTTCTCCATGATTTGGTCGAAATAACCAATTTCAGCAGGCCATGTTTAACCTCCTTTTGCCATGTTTGTTTGTTTGTTATTAAAATCTTTAACCAATTTCATTAGGTTTAATAATAAGACAAAATATTTATAAGCATGTACGTAAAACCAATGGCATAATTTGGAAAAGGCCATCTTGGCTCCAGACAAAATTTATGTGTGTCAAGGTGTGTCAGAAATAGCGCCCTTGAAGTCAAACTTGATTCTTGACTACTCTGTGGATACTCTACTGTCAATTGGCAAATATATGAAAATGGTTGATCATTGCCTTTTTTGGGGGGATTATTTCTAGACTTTCAAGTGTGGCCTACACCTTAGAGTTCCCCCTGCTTGGCTCTGAAAATATGCACATGTGTATAAATATTGCAATCTATGTATCACTATGGGTTTAATTAAAACTGGATTGATAAAGAAACAGGCTGTCTGTCCCCTTCAAAAAGAGGACTGGGAAATAGGAGTGAAATAGAGAATCACAGAAAAGGATTGAGCCAAGAGAAAAATGTTTTCTCTAAAGAGGATGGTGGATAGAACAAGCTGGATGTTTGGAAGAAAAAGATATTTTACTGCTTAAAAAAATCACTGCTGTTCTGCTAACCGTATGTGGGTTAATAAAACATAATTTGGTGGCATGTTACTGCCACTAAGGTTATTTGTGAATACTGTTTTGAGGTCTCATTTGTATTTCTGTCTACTGCAATATATTTTTGGAATTATCCCCAATCCATAGATCTCTAAAGTCTTTTTAAAAAATCTTAAATCATGAGAACAAATCAGTGTAAGATATGTACATTCCAAGGGGTGGGTTTTGCAGTTTGGAGATTCCTTCTGTTCATTGATCATGGTTTCATGTAGCATCACTGTACTTTGGGAAGATTTTTTTTTAAAAGTTTATTTAAAATTATTTATTTAAAATGCAATAGTTAAATAAGTGGGTTTTTTATTCTACACTGAGGATTCTTTGACTGACCCATTGGTAAAAAAATTAACTGGCTTGTAGTTTAACTGGGCCGAAAAAGGTCAGGCAAGAGATAAATTAGCAATTTTCAAAAGACTGGCCAGAGATTTTGTTCTTGTCTGCCTGATTTGGTGCTTCCTCTGTTTTGGTAGATTTACTGCATAAAATTTACTGGGATGTTTTCTCTGTACCAACTCCCCCATCCAGCAGTCCTACAAGACTCGGTCTTCAGAAAAACTGCTGGATGCTTTATCTCTCAGGCAATATTCTTAGTAAGCCTTTTTATTTCCTAAATAAAATTGGCTCCCTACAACCTGCCCTCTTTGGAAAACTGGAAAACCAAAGCTGAAAATAGCACCCTTTTATCCAAAGAACTGATTGTTACAGACTGATTTGAACTATTAATCTGGTGAAAAGGAGATGTAACCCTGACTTTCTTGTGACCATTCACTGTTGAATGATGCTTGTGGTGTGTTCCAGAACGTCTTCCCTTCACCCTGCTTCAGGTTGAATGCTTTTGGGATTAGACAGGATTTAAAGCTACAAAGGAGATCTACAGGCTGTCATAGAGGTTCAGCCCTACCGCTTTATGTATTGCTGCCAGACAGCCTTTCAGCAAAACTCCAAAACTTGGTTGGGCACAGAATGAAGGCTCCTCACACACCCAATTAAGGAGAATTATCCTGAATGAGAAATCATCAACTGGATACATTGCGTAGGGGCTCAAGTAGGATCAACAATGGTTTCAAGCAATGATGGATCTGCTTTCAAATCAAATGTATTTATGGTGTATGTAACGGAAGGGATCTCTGTTTTTACCCAACAATGTACAGTCTATTTTCATCCATGTCTGTGGACAATTTGTAATGTATGAATAAACTATTCAACTCTAGCTAGAAACCGATTTCTTCTCTCTTCCTTTAGAACTCACAGGAGGATCACTTAACCTTCAGGTAGCCTCATTTGCCCGTTAAAATCTAGTATTTTCTTCTGTTAATTTATTTAACATAATAATCTAAGGGATCTATTAATGTAACATAAAAATCCAATGGAACAAGTGCCTCCAGAAGTTGTGGATGCTCCGATGGGTTTTTAAAGAAACTATTGGACAACTATCTGTCTGAAATGGTACAGGATAGGTTTTCCTGTCTTGAGCAGAAGGTTGGACTAGAACAGTGGTTCTCAACCTGTGGGTCGCGACCCCATTTGGGGTCGAACGACCATTTTACGGGGGTCGCCAAACACGATCCAATTTTTTCCCTCAGCTGGCGGCACTGTGCATGCACGCTGCGCATGGGGGCGCCGCTGTGCATGGGGGCGGTGCCGCGCATGCGCAGCGCGTCCTTATGACCGGGGTCACCGTATAAAAAGGTTGAGAACCACTGGACTAGAAGATCTCCAAGGTTCCTTCCAACTCTGTTATTCTGGGTCTATTACTACAGGGGTCTCCAACCTTGGCAAGTTTTAAGACTTGTGGACTTCAGCTCCCAGAATTCTGGGAGTTGAAGTCCACAAGTCTTAAAGTTGCCAAGGTTGAGGACCCCTGTACTACTGGGCTCATTCCTCCCCTTTCCTTATTTGAAAGGCTCCATCAACTCAGCTTTGTCATATGCCCGTGAAAGCTCGTTAGATTTCAATCTGGATTTATTCACCCTTCATCCTCGTGGGCCAATGCAACGCGCGCGCGCGTGTCCCCATATGGATCAACCTTTCTCTGAAGCTCGGCAGAGGGACGTTCCTCTTCGCCTGGCGCCTCTACTACCTGTGATTTTTCTACCTGGACCAGACTTCAGTTAAACCTAGCTGGACTCCAGGAAACAAGCCTGAAAAAGATCCACTGCGAAGAAGGCAAACGACAGCCAGGAACGCCCCCGGTGGTACTTCTGCATGGCCTGCTTCGACGCGTAGAAGCTTGGCCGGCCTTGCGGCGGCTCCTCCCGGCCTTCTCCTCCGCCTCCTCCTGTCCCGCGCCTGTCCTTCTTCTTACGGCCGCGGGAGGCAGGCGCGGTACCTGCCTGGGAGGAGCCGCCGCGCCGCGGGCAGGAAGATGGCGAGCGTGCAGCTGGAGTTCCAGGCCAGCGCTGGCGAGGCGGACCCGCAAAGCCGCCCGGTGCTGGTGCTGGGCCAGCTGCAGAACCTACACCGGCTGCCGTGGGCTCACGTGCGGGGCAAGCTGCAGCCCAGGGTGACCGAGGAGGTAACGCGGGGTCGGGCTTGGATCGCCTCGCTTCCTGAGCGGGCTGCCTACCGAACGCCCCGCCGCCCCTTGGAGAGGCGCTGTCCCCGATTTGAAGCCGCGGCTCCCCCCGCGCGTTGTTCTGCAGCCGCGGCCCTGCTCGCCTCTAGCCGGGACGCCCTCCCTCGCCCTTTCTCTTTCCAGACAGGCCTAGGCTGAGCCGGGAACCGCTCCAGCCGCGGCGATTGGGTTGAATCCCTTCTCCTGTCCCGGTGCCTTACTCGGGGCGGAGTTCCCTCTATGGAGTCCTCACTGTTGTCCGAGCTGGGTGCTTTGCTTGCAGATGTTCCATTATCCCAGTGTTTCTCAACCTTGACAATTTTAAGGCATGTGGACTTCAACTCCCAGAATTCCACAGCCAGCATTGCTGGCTGTGGAATTCTGGGAGTTGAAGTCCACATGCCTTAAAATTGTCAAGGTTGAGAAACACTGCATTATCCCAACTAAACTAGCGTGGATGATGTTACCGAGTCGGGTAATGAAATGTCTGCAAGCAAACCACCCAGCTCGGAGAACCCTGAGCTACAGATACTCTCTTCCAGTGGTAGAATGCCTTCTGCCTGGGGGTTGCAGCTCTCCACCCCCCATGGAGAGCTTTGCCAAATGGAGAGGGGTGCGGGGCGCAGCGGTATTCTGACTCCGGTGCCGAGGATCTGGTCTTCATAGCTGTCGGTGCAGATTCCGAATTCAGTGGATTTTGAAATTGCTAAGCTGGTGACACTCTGCTGCCTGGGCTTTGTCGAAGTACCCCCACCCCTTTGCCCCAGTTAATCAGGTAGGCTTCCAGATGTTTGCTCGCCTCTTTTGCATACCTTCCTAAGAGAGATTCAGTGGCCTTCGGGTTAGACAACCGTGGTTCTTTTATGACTCGTGGACTTCAATACCCAGAATTCCTGAACCAGACATGCTGGCTCAGGAATTCTGGGATTTGAAGTCCACGAGTCATAAAAGAGCCAAGGTTGCCTACCTCTGGTTGGTAGGTAATGCTTTGAAAAGTCACAGATTTAGGCTGGGTCAAAATGTTTCTTGCTCCTTTGAAGCATAGGATGTTGGATAAACCTAATCTTTGTGCCTAATAAAGAGTTGTTTATGATTTAAAGTGTTGTGTGAGCTCAGCCAATTGTGTTTGAATCAGTGAGGTATGGTTAAGCAAAATAAGTAAAACATAAGATGTTGTGTGAATGGAGCCTTAGATTATGCTGGTGGGGGAACTTTTTGAGTTGAAATCCATCCATATTAAAGTTCCTGAGATTGAGAAACACTGATCTAGATTTTATTTGATTTTCTCCAATATTCTTTTATTGATAAGGAAGTTGAATGGATTTCCTTACAGGTAATCCTTGACTTACAACCATTCATTTAGCAATCAAAGTTACAAAGGCCATGAAAAAAGTATAGGCATAGAAATTTAATAATTTGAATGATGAAAAAATTAACATTTATGACCTGTCCTCACACTTACAACCATCATAGCATCCCCAAAGACACCTGAACAAAATTTGGGTGCTTGGCAACTGGCATCTATTTACAGCTGTTGCAGCATCCTGGTGTCAGGTGATTACCATTTGTGATCTTCCCGGCTGGCTTCCAATAAGTGAAGTCAAAGGGGGAAGCTGGATTTGCTTAACAACTGCATGATTCACTTAACTGCAGTGATTCACTTTACAACTGTGGCAAAAAAGTCATAAAATCAACTACCCTGCTTAGCAATGAAAACTCTGGTCAATCAGTTGTGGTTGTAAATTGAAGATTACCTGTACAAGAGGATTTTTCATCTTTAGCACTCTGAAGACACCTGGACTTCAACTCTCAGAATTTCTCAGCCAGCCATGCCATATATAGCATCCATTTATCTACTGTATATAGAAATCTGGAGCTGCCATTTCTCTTTATTTTACAACTACAGCTGTTATTGTATACCCGGATAGAATTTCCAGCTCTTATAATTTCACAATGGGAGTATGAAATTCAAGCTTTTAAGATTTGAACTAGGCCTACCCTCAGCCATGGAAGCATACAGAGTATGTGGTCCCAGTCACTCTCAGCCCAATTTACAGGATTATTGTTGGGAAGAATTGAAGAGTGCTACAAATGCAGGCTTGGCCCTCTGGTGAGCTTTAAATCTAATAAACATTTCACAGTACAATAGAGTTCAAATAGAACAGTGTTTCTCAACCTTGGCAGCTTTAAAACGTGTGGACTTCAACTCCCAGAATTCCCCAGCCAGTATGCGGAGAGGAAGAATGTTCTCTGCTAGTGCGCGTACACATACACACACACATACCGACACCGTCCCTACCTTGTCAGCTGGCATCTGAGTCACTTCCTCAATCTTCCCTCAGCAGCCACCACTGTTGAAAGATTTCAGAAGCCAAGCTTGGTTCCAAAGCAGCTAATGGCCACTTGCCTATTGGGCCTTGCTACCAGCCAATTGAGGACAGGGGCCAGAGAGAGGCAGGGGAAAAGGCAGGAATACACTTCTCCCTTGTATTGTGCAACCTATCGGTTTCTGGGAAGTGTAGTCAGAAAGCATGTTGGCACTGAAGTAACCACAGCTTTCCCAATTTTCATTGCCACAGAAATCATAGGTCCCAACATGGCTGACTCAGGAATTCTGGGAGTTGAAGTCCACGAGTCATAAAACAGCCATGGTTACCTACCCCTGAGATAGGACAAGGGTATCTCATAAGAGCCATGATGGCACAGTGATTAGAATCCAGCACTGCAGGCAAACTGCACACAGCCTGGAGTTCAATCCTGATGGGGTTCAAGGTTGACTCAGCTTTCCATCCTTCCAAGGTTGGGGGCATATGCAAATAATGCTCGTGCATTGTAAACCACCTGGAGAGTGCTTTAAAACATTATGGGGCGGGATATAAGTCTAAATACTATTACTATCCTCAGGGTATGGTCTAAAAAAGTATGATAGCAATCACAATGGTGCAGTTGAAGCTGTGCCTTTTTTTAAATACACTACATGCATAAAAAATGGGCAGAGCTTCAGGCACACCATTGTGGTTGCCATCTTGACTTTTTTGGGCCATCCCCTGAGGACCTCCTTGGTGAAGGTTCTGCTTCCTGCAGAAGACATAAACTTTTGCTTGAAGAACAGTTGCCTGCAGAAGACATAAACTTTTCCTTTCGGTTCTCAGATATGGCAAGCGGCATTAAATACTTTGAACCCCAACCCTACCGACAGTTGTCCCCTCTACCTGAATCATGCCACAGTAGCTGCTTTACCTTCCCGGGTGAGTCGACATAACAGCCCGTCTGCTGCTCAGTTCCTGACCCGGGTTATCCGACCGTGTTTGCCTGGAGGAACCAAGAGATGCATCCTTGTAAGTGAAGATGGGAGAGGAAGCAAAGTGGGAAGGGAGTGATTTTTCTTAAATTCCAGATTGCAGTTTAGTGGCAGCCTTATGTAATAATTGTTCTCGGTTATGACGGTAATAAAAAGTCACCATGTGACCAATCATTGCATTGATAATCTTTTCAGATGTGTAATGCAAAGGAAAGCTGAAGGAAGATCCTAAGCACAGTTGCAGTTTCATTTGATGGCCACTTTGCTTAACAACCAAGTTGCTGGCCAATTGTAGTTGCTAAATAAGGACTACGCTGCAGTTAATTTCTAAAACAGAGGTGGCTATCTCTTGAGGCCAAGTGTGCTTGGTGAGATCAGTTAAAGGCCTAGCAATTGTCTACTTGTAGTATCCAAATCTTGGTGAGATTTTTTTTATGTTGTTATGATAATTTAGACCAATTGGTTATCTTACCGACAATATTATGCCAATCCAGAAATAGATCAGATTAATTGGTTGTGTTAATGCAATTGCTGAGATTTGTGAATGTTCGTTGTAATTCTCTCTGCAGCCTAAATCAGTGCTTCTCTCAGATGGACTGTACAAATTGTCACTATTCAAGCAAGAACTAGTGTTTTTGTGGGTAGACTACATAACAGCAAAACAATTATCATTCTTCCAGGAAATTAGCCATCCATCATAATGCTTTGCTTATTTTAAACTTGTAATCTGCTTTCTGTGTCTAGAGACACAGAACAGAAATGGAACAAAATAATTGTCTCCAGCTTCATTGCAGCCCAAAAGCCACTGATGAAAAATTACTCTGAAGGCTGTAATTGCCCAGATGTAAGTGTGTAAGATGACAGAAGGGATTTTCAAGCTTTTTCAGGCTACAGAACCCGTTGTTCTTTTTTTAAATCCTCAGAAATGCTGACCAAAAGGCAAAATTCTAGCATAGTTTTTCCACAGAGCAACTTTAAGATATGTGGACTGCAACTCCCAGAATTCCCTAGCCAGACATGTTGGCTGGAGAATTCTAAATCTGCCCAGTTAAAAAACATTGCTCTTATGATAGAAAACGAGCTAAATATTTTGGTTTTTCTTTATCTCTTGCAGAACATTACCGGGTTCTTGTGGGATTCAGGGGTTCCAGGGAAGTAAAACTTGTTCAATATACTTTTTTTTTGAAAAAAATTGGTGTTGATTAACTATTTCAGATGGTGTGTGAGCGCTCAGAAGTCTTTGCTTCAGCTTGTGCCATAGCTCGGGCCTTCCCACTCTTCACCCTTCGCTCCAGTTCATCTAGACGTACAGAGAAGAAGACTGTGGTTGTGGAGTTTTTCCTGGTTGGGCAGAACAATGGCCCAGTAGAGGTTGAGATGCTGAAAGTAAGTTGACATTCTCCAGAGAATGCTTCAGATTACAAACAAACAAATGATTTACAGATATTCCTCACTTAACTACAGTAATTGGAACCAGAATTTCCATCACTAAACAATACAGTCGTAAAGCACAACATCAAGTGACCGTGCCACTTGGTGTTGGTGGTTTTGGCAGTGCCCAGTTGCCGTCATTAAGCAAATCATTGTGGGTTAAGTTACATGAACCGCAATTTCCAGCTTCCTGCCAGCTTCCCCACTGACTTTGCTACTGGGAATCTGGCAAGGAAAATCACAAATTGTGATTACACAACTACAAGACACTACAACAGTTGGAAATCTAGGCCTCTTGCCAGATGACTACGGAGGTTCTGCAAGTGCTGGAACTTCAGTCATGACTACCATTCGTTCACGCTGTTGCAAGTTCAAATAGTTACTGAACAATTGGTCATTAAATGAGGATAAGCTCTACAGTGTGCTACTCTCTTCCACCAGGGCGTGGTCTAACCTACCATTAAAATGAACAATAAAATATGTACAGACTATGAAACTTATCAGTGATTGCAAAAATTACCATCATCAAGCTTTTTTGAATATAACATCCTACGCCTAAGTTCACAGTACCTGAACAGATACTCTGCAGGGACATTGAGTGAAAAGACCCACTATCCTCAATCTTTGCTCCTAATGAATGAGAACTAGATAGTCTTGTTGATCATATCTGAAGAGGAACTGGTTAGGAAAGGCTGTAATTGAATTAGACATAAATACATTTTCTGTTTGGAGATAATTTGGAAGTTTCTCTGACAGATTTCTTTGGTGGTGATAAAAGCCAATGCATTACATATTTCTCCACACCTTAAGTGATTTTTGGTGTTGTTATCACAATTTAACATTGTTGGTGGCCAGAGTGGTGGGGAGTACTGTGTTTTTTATCATTCCTTTCTAAGTATATATAAGATGACAGAGCCTGGCCAAATGTTGAATGTCAATGTCCCATTCATATAAGGATGGGAGACCACAAGGAAGCCCTAAGTCTTCAGCTAGACCAGGAAGTCAGCACATATCCTGGAAGAAGGCAATGGCTGATTGTTTCTGTGCTGCTCCCAACAAAACTAAAGGCTGGTTTTAATTTAGGGTTAGAGGTTTCATGCTGCCAGCTCCTCTCCTAATACTTCATTATTAACTCTTACAACTACAAACCCTGCTGTGTTAAAATTGACTAGCCCAAAATTTTTAATTCCTGGTCATTCGTGATTCTTAAAAAGTCTATGGGCAATAAAAATATACTGTTTGGGTGAAACAAAGCTCTATCAACACAGACTCCCTTTATTTATTTTATCTTTTTAGTGTCTAGAAAATGCTACAGAAGGGGTTAGACTGGCAGCTCGAATTGTTGACACCCCTTGCAATGAAATGAACACTGACAAGTTCCTGGAGGTTGGTGATGCCTTTCAAATATTGGTGTTTTTCCAGTGAATTTGAAAAATTCTATCTAGGATTCATTTTTGTTTCTAGCAAAATCCTTTTTCCAAAGGCCTTTACTTATCATTTGATCCAGAAATAATTCACAGTTGCAAGCAGAGCTTTATGAAGCTGAAGGATTAAATTAGTCTTTCTTAGGATTGTAGGAGAAGAGCATGCAGAGCAGGGTGGAGTTAAATGTGTCATCAGTTTAGAATCCTTACGTTTGCACAAATAGTCCATCCTTTTCTGTATTTGATTGATCTGCCTTTCTTCCAAAGAAACCCTATAATAAGGACCATGGGGAATTGGGTATGTAAAGCCAAAGTTGCAATGACATAGCTTAAATGTTGGACTTTACAGTGTGGTTTTTGAAAGTGATTGGTCATTTGATGATGATCAAGTGATGCCTTCTTTTACTCTTTTGGAAGGAAATCAGAAAAGTGGGAAAAGATTTGGGGATTGTGCCAACTATTTTTCAAAATGAAGAACTAAAGGAGAAAGGATTTGGAGGTCAGTCAAAGCGGTAAAATTTATTTATTTTTTCTTTCTTTCTCCTCTCATATTCCCTAGACCAGGGGTCCCCAACCCCCGTTCCATGGACCAGTACCGGGCCGTAGCATGCCAGCAAACAAGCAAAGTCCCATCTGCAGGATGCAGGCAGCACACAAAACCATGCCCCCTCTGGTCCACGTAAAAACCTCTCTCCGTGTAACCAGTCCCTGGTGCCCAAAAGGTTGGGGACCTCTGCCCTAGAGAACTGTTTCTTAACTCAGCCTTTCTCAGATGGCACAGAGTTCTTAAGAGTTTGCTGTGCTGGATGAGAACTGTAGTCTTAACATATATTTGGAGAAGATTGGCATCTCTGATTTCAACCCCTTCTGATTCATTGATTGATTATGTAACATCAAATCAGTCTTCAGTATTCCTTGCTTAGTGACCATTCGAAGTTACAATCAACCCCTTAAAAAGCTACCTACAACTTGGTCCATGAATTCCAATGGATGGATTTGTTCAGTGATCCATTTGTTTTTTTCTTAACTATCATGGAATTCTCAAGAGTCTTCAGGACAACATTTCAAAAGCGTCAATGCTCCTTATCCAGCTTCTTCAAAATCCTCTAATGATTTGGGTCTTGCAAAAATAATAAGATTTCATTGGTCATCATTCTAGACATAATCCTTAAACTTTGTCAGTTGCTGTTCAGAAATTTAAGGCTTGTAGAACAAGGCAGAATTTTCAGAAAGTGAGGAACATGGGAGGGCCTCAAAGATGCTATAGACTTTGCACAAGTCTTTGAGGTCCTGCCATGTATTTTAGAAGTTTCTCTACCCATCTCTTATGCAGAATGACGATATCATGCTTAAAATACTGAGAGTCCTTGTGTAGTGACTGAAATTGCTTTCAGCAAAATGGTTGCAAAATGAACCACATGAATGATGGGGGAAAGGGAGAGAGAGAATAATTCCTTGTGTCTTCCTTCTTCTCCAGGCATCTATGGGGTTGGAAAAGCAGCTGTTCACCCACCTGCTCTAGCTGTGCTCAGTCATACTCCAGAAGGAGCCACACAGACTATTGCCTGGGTTGGAAAGGGCATTGTCTATGACACTGGAGGACTCAGCATCAAAGGAAAGGTAAGTTCAGAGTCTGTTCCTGGGATGAGCTGTCAGATTACTCTAATATCCATGTGTTAAATGGACTCCAAGAAATGTTCTCCTTGCCCTTACTCACATCTCTACCTCAACATCTGAATGAAGCCATAACTGATGACTAAGTGACATTAGTTAATTAGTTAGTTAAATATGCAGCAGCTTCACAAATTAGGTTTTATACATACCCTTACCACTTCGGATTAAATGTTGATATAGAAGGAGAGGCAAAGATATGCATGGAATGAAGAGATGGAAAAATTGTCTATCGATGACATCTGCTACTTTGATTGGAGGAAGTTTCACTGAACTTGTTGCACTTCGCTTTTGAGAAGAAGGACATGCAGCTATTAGCCAGGTATACTTTGCCTTCAATGGCTTTGAGATAAATGCCTTGCATTTCTGCTTTTATTTTGCTAGACAACAATGCCTGGAATGAAACGAGATTGTGGTGGAGCTGCTGCTATTTTGGGTGCCTTCAAGGCCACTGTGAAACAAGTAAGTGAAATTCTGCACATCACAGAAGATAGTTGGTATAACCTATCTATGGTCAAGCTATGGTAATAATGAGATTTAGTTATTTATATTTCACGTTTCTTAATTGCCCATTTCCCTCAGAGAGGGGCTTCTTGGGGTTATGAATATATTTTCTGTGAATCTTATCAGACCTTGGGGTTCCATGGTTCCATCTTACACGCAGCTCTTAGTGACAATGGGCTCCTCCTCCCTTACAATCTGATTTTGTGGTTCTGATATGCCCTCCCTCCACCATGGTCATGAAACCACATTTCAGGCACTCAGTAATGGTCTGCATTTGCAGCATCCCATGATCATGTGACCACGGTTTACGGTATTTTTGCCCCAAAGCAGCATTTACTTCTAATTTTTGGCAAAAAAAAAAAAAAACAACCTATAGTAAACAATGGGTTTTGCTTAATAACTGTGATGTTCGTTTAATGACCACCACAAAAAAGGGCAGTCTCCATTTTGGTTGTAAGCTGAGGACTGCCTATAGTCTCCTTTCCTCGGATTGTAAAGAAACTGCTTTTGCTAGAATTAACATGGGTACTCAAGTCCTGTGTATATGAACGCATGCATGCAATTCTCCAAATCACATTCACACAGTCATGGAGCCATATATACGTAGTTCTAATTGAACTTGCAAGTAGTATTCCAATACAGAATACCTTTCACATTAACTTTGAAATGCTTGTGATAAAGTAGGGATATCATTGCAGCAATCCATAGAATTTGAAATATTCTGCACACCTGTACACATTTTATTTGATTTTATTGTAATTGTAAATATTGTGTGCATGTATTTTTTTTCTTTTCATATGAGGCATCTGGAATGAAGAAAGTCAGACTAAAAAATCAAATGGAATGTAAATCAGTAGAATACATATTTATGTACAGTATATGCACATATTCAGCCAGATGACAATAGCACAGCAATTAAAGTAATGTCATCAAAAAGGTAGCATCCATTTAGTAACATATGCATACTTAGCAATCAGTAAGTCTATAAAAGAAGAAAAAGAAGATCTTCCAAAGTTCTACATTTCAAAACTTCAAACTTGCAATAGAAAAACCCTAATTTTCCCCCCTCTAAAAAAGTGAAAACTTCCTTATCTTCAGCCTGACACATCCAGTTGAACTGTGAGAATGATAAATCTTCTGTAATAGAGTATCGAAATATGAACTAAAAAGCATATTTGAAGTGCTGAGCAAGGAAGTCTAATCTGGTAGATATGCCAAATTATGATTTACTCATTATTTTGGTACTTTTGTTAAGATAAATCTTTGCTATAAGGCTCCATTTTCCCTAGAATTCAAATAAAGGCATGCTCAAGATGCGCAACGGCCATTTTCATTGTCACTGTGCTCTCAGCTTGGCGGTGTGTGTTCTTTGGTTGAAGTCAGATTCAGCAAATCACTCTGTTGACTTCTGGCTGTGCTGGGAACCCCTGGGAACAACATATGAAGTTGGAAGGAAGCCACCAGCTGCTCCTTTCTCTTGATCTCAATTTAGCTTTAGGACCAAGGGAAGCCCTTGAGTCCATCCAGCTTAATCTCACCTGTCGGTTGGCAGGAGCCATGCTATCAGATTTAGACAGGATTTTTTTCCCAACCCTACATGAAAATCCAGGGGATTGAATTTGGGATTTCAACAAAGCACATGCCTTACTATTAAATTCCTTCTCTTCCATGAAGCATCATTTTCTACCTTCTTTATTCTGCCATACCTTGGGAATGTATGAAAGTGGGTTTTTTTTTTGTTTTGTTTTGTTTTGTTTTTTGCTAGATTTGACCTCCCTGGAATTTCTGTACAAACGTTGACTTCAGAAATTAAATTCCGAGCATCTAAAAATCAAATAAGTCACAAAGATGTGGGCCCAAATATTTTCCGCTTGGTCAAGTTTGACAATTTGAAAGCTGTATAACATTTTATTCCATTTTCCCCAAATATTCCCCAACTAGGTCTAGAATCAATATTTTTGCGTCCAACAATTCAATGGAACAGACTGGATCCTGAGATGAATGTGCTAATTGTAATCATACACAATTGAATAGGATAAAAAATCAGATTCAGAGTTTTCCAGTTTCCCTATCCGTTGCCAGTTGCATAAAAATTCCATTGCATAAAATGGACTGTTACATGATCATTACTTATCATTCAGATATGGAGGATAGATGGAGATAGTGAAAACGCAAGCATTGGAATACTCGGACAAAGTCTTATTGAAAACTTCAAAAAGAAATACTAAAGAACAGTAAATCCTATTGCTGTAAAGCTTGCTGGCAGCTCTGTCCCTTGCCCCAACTGCCTGGGGATCCAGATCTGTAAACACATTCTCTGCAGTGATTTAATGAACAGTAGGCCAGCCAAGAAAATTGGTCAGAAGATAACTTAAATGTTAAATTAGCAATTTAAACAGCATCTCCCTTAGAAAAAAAAAGGCTGTTAGCAGCCCCGAGTTAACCTCCTCAAATGAAGGAAAATTATTTAGATCTCTTCAAATCAAGCCAAATAAAAACATTAGAGCAGTGGTTCTCAACCTGTGAGTCGGGACCCCATTTGGGGTCGAATGACCATTTCCCGGGGGTCGCCAAACAACGCAGTCCGTCATTTTTTTCCCCCTTTTCCTTAGCTGTGCTACTCCTTTTTATTCTATTGGCTTTTGAAAGTCAATAGAACAGACTCTCTTGAATAGAGTCTAATTCTATTGGCTTTCAAAAGCCAATAGGAATTGTCCAGGCTGTCTCTGCCCTGCTGAGCCCGCCAAAAGTCCCATTCTGCAAACGGTGCTGCACCAGTTGACTAGTCCTCGACTTATGACCGGTTGAGTAGTCCTTGACTTACAACTGGTTGGGGGGTCGCAGCATTAAAAAGGTTGAGAACCACTGCATTAGAGACATGCTTTCAGTTTTTTAAACATTACATTTGAAAGGGAGGGAGGTAAAGGGATTGTTTCAATTTAACCAAATTCAATAGATTCACTATATTTTTTTGAAACTGGCCTTTTGGTAACAGTACAGTTAGCAGTTATTAACTTTTTTATCTAAGCTTTCCTATATTTAAGTTTTGGATATATTTCTATTTTTCTTTTAGTAATATATTAATTTTGCCTATATTTTTAATCCTCTTTATATGATGTATGAAGTATTTGAATGTGTAAGTTGGAGGGCATTGTGTGTGCATACACGTTTGTGGGTGTCTGTCCAGTGGTGGGATTCAGATATGTGAACAACTGGTTCTCTGTGTGGATGCCACTTCCGGAAGTCCATTCTGGACCTGGGCAACAAAAATTAGCTACCGGCTCTGCCAAAGTGGTGCGAACCGGCTGAATCCCACCACTGTGTCCGTCCATTTGTATAAGGCGCTGCCTAGCATTTTTCCATGGCTTGAGCCAGGGATACTTGTAAAATACACAGGCTTAAATCTATAGTTTGGCTATGGTATGTGGACATTTTGCATTTCTTTATTTGTATGCCTTCCAGTCCCAAAAGCTCTTGTGAAATGGATAAGCAACAAATTTTAAAAGGAGAAAAAATAAAGAACAACAAAGGGACCTGTATCTCCTAGAGGTGCTGGTTGAACATCAGTTGAGGTGTCCTTTTTCTTCCTGTAACAGGGCTTTAAAGACAATCTTCATGCTGTGTTTTGCTTGGCTGAGA